TACTATGAGCCTGGAGCACAGAAATTGATTTGTTTCAGAAGCCAGCAGTTCTGTCTTGTTGCTTTGGATCACTATGGCGGCCTCCTCGTCTTTTTCTAAGTTCTCCGAGGAGACATTTGATCCTAAAGATTGGATCAATTCAGCATTGCGAAGCAAGGATCCTCAACAGGGGCTGGATGTGAGTCGAGACTCAGACGTTTTTGGCATTGTCCATCTTCAAATACACGTTTGGAATTTGCGCACGACACGACTCATTGTTGCGCTGGCAGCAAGTGTCGTGTTTTTACTTTGCATACATCACAAGAGCACCTGCATGTTCTTTAGCTTGGCCCTGGAGCACCGGGAGGTCTTCACACATGACTACCAGTATAACGTGACACACTTACACATCTATCTATTCAAGTGGAGATGTAGCATAGGAGTGAGAGACGTTGGGCATGTCGAATGCGTTGCCCTTCGAGGCTTCGAGCGTTGCAGTCAAATTTCTTTACCAGAGTAGTCGAAAACTCAATTTCTCACACTTAGCATTCCGTATCATCGCAAAGACCGTGACATAGCACAGTGGAACCATTGTACATTGGCTTGTGTGACCGTGCGCATGTGCCACCAACTGTTAGAAGCAGCTTCAAGCCTGCATGTGAGCGACATGCTAACTAGTCAAAGGTAGGATTCAACTTCCAGGCCTTGATCCATTGTACCCTACGGAAGTTTGACTGCAGTTTCAAATCTCGAACCCAGCTCCTGTCAAAACTGCCGAATATTAAACGTATCCATACGTCTACCGCATTACATTCCTTTCCATGTCCATGTAGGTTTCGCCATTGCCCCGAGTTATGAAGTTGTGTAGAGCAACAACCTCTCCTTCTGGAAAGTTGCATTGGATGTTTGTTTTTACAGTAAGAAGTTTCTGTCTGTGGACTTTGATTTCACTGTTGTGTTTCATCAGGCCCACGCCTCTACGCTTGTAATGAAGCTGCAGATGTTTATACAGGTTAGCAGTTGTGTGCTATGCTCCATGCATATTTGGTTTTGAACTCTCTCTCTCTCTCTCTCTCTCTCTCTCTCTCTCTCTCTCTCTCTCTCTCTCTCTCTCTCTCTCTCTCTCTCTCTCTCTCTCTCTCTCTCTCTCTCTCTCTCTCTCTCTCTCTCTCTCTCTCTCTCTCTCTCTCTCTCTCTCTCTCTCTCTCTCTCTCTCTCTCTCTCTCTCTCTCTCTCTCTCTCTCTCTCTCTCTCTCTCTCTCTCTCTCTCTCTCTCTCTCTCTCTCTCTCTCTCTCTCTCTCTCTCTCATGTTTACACCCAGGGGCATACCTGTTTGCCCAAAACCTTGAATGCAACGATACATGTACTAGTATTTGCTACATGTCGTGCATATGCATGTGGTCATGAACACAGTGCTGCACCCCCCCCCCCCCCCCCACCCCACACACACACACACACCTTGACCTTGACATACAGCTGCCGTTAAACGGCTAAGCTGCCCTCATGAGGAGGGGAACAAAGGGGTAGCATCACGGCTTCGAGGCAGAACATCCGGCCTCATGCCGTTGCAGATCCTGCTGCCTGCGATATCTCTCGCCGCACGCACAGCGGAACTTACACACATACACACACACACACATACGCGCGCGCACACACACACGCTCACAAACAGCATTTTGCATCTATCAGAATAGATGCAGAACTTCTAAATCATGACGTGCAAATGTTTGATTCATGTAAGAAGCTGAATGTATCACTGTGTTCTTGCCATTGTGTTGTATCCTGCTCATTTTAGGAAGTGAACAATGCATTGGAGGAGACTAGTCTTCAAGCTGTCCAGAGTTTGCCACGGTTAGTTGGTTCGATAGTTATATTTTCATCAATTCGACCGGGGGCCACCCTAGCCCAGTCTGACAAGATTGCATTGCAGCCTGCATGTAACCTAAGCTAATTCCAGTAATGATGGTCCCATGTTGATCGGAGCAACCATCATACATTCGTCTGGAAGTTTTGAGTAAATTCTATGACATCATCATGATGTCATAGTGTAGCGGGCCTGGAGGCAAAACAACCTAACAACTCGAAACTAACTTTATTAACAATTCTCTCTCTCTCTCTAGAACGGCAAAACTGCCTCTAGCAGTAAAACTCTGAACTCATTGTGAAAGATAAAATAAACGCAATTTATGGAAAATAATCACAAACAGCAACGTACTGTCATGCGATCGTTGTATGGTAGAACGAACGTCGTATTGAACAGTACGCTGAGCGTATACGCAAATGCTGAGCTTGTAGCGACCTTCATATTGAACAGTACGCTGAGCGTATACGCAAATGCTGAGCTTGTAGCGTGACCAACGCGTGACCAACGCTACAATAGTTTACCAGATCTGTGATGTCACGGACATAAACGTTATAATTATGGGACTACATGAGGATATACGGAGGTTTAGAATCGCGAATTTCGCGTTCGAGTTCATGAACATTTTTCGGTATCCACTCGCACACACTTACGCACACACTTATGCGTTAAGTTTGTGTGTTTTTATTACTTGCTCTGTGTTGCAGTGTGTTACACGATGTAGAAGCCGTTCGTCAGGAAGCTCAGCTTCTTCGTGAACAAATGCAAATCGTCAAAGATGACATCCGAAAGGTAAGATGCTTGTATATTTGTATTGGCTCCCCGAAATGGATATGTCCAGGCTTCAGCGTGATGTCTGGTAATGTCCAGATAATATGATATTATCATACTGATGTCTTGTACTGAAACAGTGATGTTACTGCAAAGAACCGTTGATTCGACCACTGTCTAGCTTCCAACTTTCCACCCCTGCCGATTTTCTACCTATGAAGCGACTGTAAAAGCGTTAACGTCAGCATACAGTGTGCAGTGCAGTTGTACATGCTACATGTACAATCATACTACATGGTGGCGGTGAGTACATGCTACTTGTAATATGATTGTACATGTAGCATGTACATGTAGTGTGTACATGCCAGTGCAAGTATTCCAGTGGTAGGAAGTGTACACTACCCAGTACGAGCAGTGTCTATCTTTCGAGTTGCTGAATGCAATGTTGTACTGCTCGCGAGAGCATTGGTGTATAGATCTATTGACGATACAAGACAGTACAGTCGGACCTCGCTTTACCGCACATCCGTTTTCCACAAAATTATCCGGATAGGCGTGGGAACCGGATAATCGAACACACATACCGTATGTATGCATGACATATGCTGTAAATCGGTAACCAGCGATTTTCTTTCGGATGGTGACGGATCCGGATAAAAGAGGACCGGATAAGCGAGGTCTGACTATAGTAACTTGCAAAGTGCTTGTGTGAACGTGCAAGTCACTTGGATCTTCCCAGGCTTGGTGGGTGCACATGACGTCGCGTGTTGTGGACCCGCCATCCCGGACTTCCCGTGACTATTATAAATCGGACACACGCTCTCTTCAATGTGTTGCAGGTGGAAGAGGAGACGCATCAGTCCATGAAGCACCTGCTACAGCTGGACAGCATCAAGTGTCGCATGCAAGACGCCAAGGCAGCTCTGGAGGTAATTCAGTCCTGGAGGTTTTAGACAAAATTTAATACATTGTACAATGAAATCACTTGGAAGCATTTAGTGGGAGTGTGACGATGTGATTCCCTGGCAGATTCTAAGATCACATGGGTACCACGGAGAGCACATGGACTATCTTGCTGGTACATTCAGGGTTCACAGTTGCGTAGAAAGGCGTCGATTAGATGGGGCTGCAAATACAACTTTCACGTGCTCCAAAATGCCAGCTTGACCAATCAGCAGTCAGCATTTCGTCGCATTTTTGCTCGAAGTAGGGGATGTTTGAAGGAGTTAGCAGCACTTCAGCTAGGTTCTACGACAGTACGAGGCTGGGACTTGGCCCAGGCACAGATGACAGGTGTTCCAAAAGATTTACCGAAACAAATTTTCATTACTCACACGGGTATGCCAGAGCATATGCGTAAACTTCGTGAAATATAGTACAGTATTGGAAAGGAGTATCCAAAAATGTCTCGGTAAATTTCTTTGCCAGGGTCTCCTGAAAATTTTAAGCCATAGATTGTCCAAATCGACCAAGGGGGGAGATGCTCTGTGCTGATTTTAGTAACCCCGAGTCCCAGCGGCGCGCAACCGCTTGCGCGAAAATGTATGAAGATCAAACAACAAGAAAAACGCATGCATGCAGCAGAACAGCAACGCGTACCGTCGAAGAGAAAATCATTGTGCACAGATTATTCAGTGTTCTCTCCTCAGTTCGCCCGCGGCGTTGGTTGCTGTGCTTTCATTCTCGCTGGAGTTCTTGTGGCAGCGCATTTCGCCATCATGGAGGAACTGGTACCCTGGGAAACCTGGTCTTCAGTGGCCCTCGACTAACGCCCGGTGGATTTGCTGGTCCCGTTCACCTCCATCAGCAGCTCCGTGTGGTATCATCATGTTCTCGGCGTTACCTGCCTGGCGAGCTCTGCCTCGTTTGTTTGTCTTCTTACCTGTGGAACATCGCGATCGGTCATTGTAGCATCAGCTTTTGGTCCGACATGGCATGTTGTATTTACTGGGACTAGCACAGGTTGCGTTTCGCCTTCTCCTTCGGTGGACCAATTCTACAAGGCACAGTGAAAGGCAATTCTTTGCCGAGGACAAGCACAAGTACTGTAACTGTTCAATGTTGCGGTGCAATTCCCAGTGCAAATAATAAAGCAAACTATTTCCACTGGAGTATGCACGATCGTAAAAGCACAAGATCGACACGAACGGAAACGAGAATGGTTTGACACTGCATGCCGAGAGAAGCGAGGAAAGGACAGGTCCTACCAAAATATCGCGAACATTGGCTCTAAAACTACGAGAAAAGGCTACAGTACAACTCAGGTTCTTTCTCTTCTCTGTTTTGTTTGGATGCGTGGGATGTACACGATCGATACTCTCCCGGGGTCATGCGACTCACGTGCACCAAACCCGCCCTCTCATGACGCTTTTGTCGATCCTGCGTGCC